CTCTGGCTTTTGTACCAGCTTACTGCTGCTTTGTGCCAACCAGCTCAGAGCCCAGGAAATGTGTCTGCACCTGCCTGGAGCAGTGACTGTAGGATGACCCAGGAAAGAGACATCTAATCTTACCAAAAAAAAAGTGGTATGAGCAAACAAAGCTCCTTCCAGCCTGAAAAATACAGGCCAAGGAGAGATTTGATTGTGAGCTTGTTCTAGCCATAAACACAAACATCTCCTACCAAGAAAGACCTGAGAGAAGTACCCCAGAAGGAAATCAGGACTAATTTTAATTAAAGGACAACACCAGTAGAAGGACAAATATACACGAACTGGCCATGCAGTCTGGAAATTGAGAAAGTTTTCTCATCAAGCAAGACAGAACAGAGAGAATCTGAATGGGTAAGTACACACAGGCATTTTTCAAGAAGAAATTTGCTCATTCACTTGAAAGGGTTCCCATGTGCTGTCTGTGGTAGCAGGTGACTGGATCTACTGAGAAGTGCCAGTTCTTTGTCAGATAAAATATCACCACTTCAGTGAATCACTTTGGAACACATCCTCAAATATTTGTGATTTATGCAGAGGAGACACAATAAAAAAGAGGGTTCCTGCCAAGCAGTAACCAATCCTGCCAGGATGGCCTAAATCTGTTGCCAAGTCAGATTTACCCTTCGAATTCAAACCTGAGAACTGCATCTGCGAGTTACTCTGCTTGCACTTCCTCTGCTGCTGAGCCTGAAAGGGAAGGTGAGACCACAGCCTCAATGCTCCTTATTTTTAGCTTCTGCAAGACTAAAATGCTAAAGAATTGGCCAATGATGCTGCCTTGTGTCTGAGGGGTTAAGTGATGAAACTGAAATGTTTACAAAAACTTGGTAAATAAGCAAGGCTTTGTGTTCTAAATACTCAGAAAAGGAAGTACATAAAGAGCAAACAAATAAACAAATGGCCATAATGGCTCTCTCACAAACCTAAACCCCTAAGAATTGATTTTCCAGGCAGATATCATAGAGACTGGACTTATTAAAAATCAAAGCAAAAAGCATAAGGGTTTTTCATTTGTTTTTTTGAATACAACAGTCCTGTATTTATACTAACACAACTTAATCCAAGATACAGTTTACATCAATAATTTTAAGAGCAACTTGACAGTCTCATACAAGCTTGTGCTGTGACTTTCACTGACTGCACTGATTTAAACAGTCTTCGTCTGAAAGGACTAAGTGCTCCACACAGCAGACCAGTCCCAGCAGGACACACACCACTGCTCTGCCTTCTCAGGGTATTTTCTGCAGTCACCACTTTGCTTCACTTGGAAAAAAAGACCTGAAGTGTATTTGTGAAGGAAGCTACAGCCACTGTCTGACAGCAGCTTCAAGCATTAACTACCATGCTTTACAGCTGATAGAACAACATATGTCCTACAGTAAGTCATGCTCTTGCAAACTCATGATTCTGAGCATTAATTTCTACATAGCAAGTTTAGTGTTAGCTGACTTTCTCCCTATTTTAGCAATCAGTTCAGAAGGACACAAATATTTCTGCAGCTTTAAGCATTTAAACTCTATTTGTATTAGACAAATACATTTCTTTGTTCATTATCAAACTGCCCTGATACTCAGTCTGGCAATTTAAGCAGAAGTCCTAAGCATCCTGCCAAGCAGAGGCCTGAAAGGGAGTGGATGACAACCTCGTTAGACCTTGGTCAGCAGCAGCCTGAGCAATGGTAACAGAAAGTTTTGCAAGGTATTCACCTCTTGCCAAAGCCTGAGTGAACATGCAGTGCAGTAAGCCTGTCCCAAGCTTTCTGAGAAGGCTCCTAAACCTTCCTCAGCCTACCTCACTGCCCAGGCTGAGAGCTGAGCCAGGCTCTCCAAACTGCCCCTGTCTCAAGGGGGAAAGGGATGGGCAGCCCAAAGCAGTGCCCTTCCCAACCAACCAAAGTCCACAAGCCAGTCCTAGGAAACACAAATGTAATCTCTCCTTTCAGTCTCCACCTGTAAGCACTGCAGCAGGTGCTTCTGAGAGAAGGCTGCAACACACCCACAGGGTCAGAAGCAGAGTGAGTGTCCAGCTTTCTCCTGGTTCAGGGAGACAAGGTGCTTCCCTACAACTCGCCACATCTCCCACCATGCCCAGGGAAGATGGGATGATGCCCTGACCTTTCTGCTGATGGGTGGCAGGGAGGGTACATGGAACAGGATTCAAGTCTGTAACACAGGGACAGGTATGCGAGACGTTTTTCAAGACAAGTTATCTTGATATGTTTTCTTTTTCTCCACATCATTATCTGATGTCGTCCGAAACTTCTGGAACACATAAACTGACTTATCTAAAGCATCCTGTCAGACATGAAAGGATACCATCCTCTACTGATCAACAATCCAGGCACAGATGGGAAGACAATTGCTATAGTTCCCTCACTACCAAAAGTATCTATAAACAAAACTAAGGACACATAAATAAATTGAGATAATACATAAGAGTAAAGGTCCTAGAGAATTTTCCCTGACTCAGCTTATTGAAAAGGCTGCAGGATGCTCCTAAAGGGGACTGGGGAGCCAGAACAAAGAACCTCACAAACATTTTTGAAGCAACAAGTTCTTTTTCATAAACTGCCTGAAGCAGCTAAAATAATGATCTTGCATAATGAGAAAGGAACAATTAGAAACTTCTAGTCCCACAGGGAGCCTATTGTCTCAATAAAGTGTTCTGGAATTTTTCTGACATTTAGAAACAAACTGGACACATTTCCCACTTGCTGAAAGTGGGAATGGGCCTTCTATCTATTAAAGCAACAGGACAAAAAATACCACTTCCTATAGGAATTTCAGTGCCTGTTTTCTGTTTCATTAATGAAGAACTTTGTGAGAATGATTTGTTCAACTAAGGCTGTTAAATTTTTCAGAGGATTAACAGACAGATTATTAGAGTGGTTTAAAGAGCAACACAGAGCCCTCTGAAATCTTTATGTCTGCTTAGCAGAAAGAAGAAAATCCCATGCATCTCCACGGTGATATTTTAGCTGTAAAACCTACAAGCAACGGGAAAACTCCTTTCCAATTCTAGCCATACATGCTCCTCCCTTGCAAGAACTGTGTGAGACCCCCTGCCCTGCACCAGAGCCAGCAGCATCCTGTCCTGCAGGGCAGCCAGCCCTGCCTCCCTGGAGGTGCAGTCCTTGCTGAATCCTGCACAGCCCTGGATCAGACACTGGCCAGCTTGGCTGTTCTTCCTGCACGTCTGGCCTTTCCCTTGAAAACTCTGTTATTTAACTACTTAGCAGGTGATGGATCTGATTACTCCTTGCTCTCTCATCAGCCAAGCAGGTTCCATCCTTCCTTTAACTTCTCTCAGAAAAGGTTCACAAGCAGCCACAGCAGAGGACCAGCCAAAAGCTACTCATGGACAACCTGTGATAAGACAGGAAGCCAAAAGCTCCTTGCAGGAACAGCCCAACACAGAGGTTGGACACTAGTGCAGAGGACTATGTGAGCACAGAGCACTACCAGTTCTTCAGGAAAAGAAGGCAGAAATAACACAGGTGAGTGAGGCTAGAAAGAGACAGAAAGAAATTCAGCAAGGACATTTCATCTTAAAAAGGAGGAGTTCATTTTCTCTAGACACACACCTATGTTCAGGGATTGCTCTGGGGTGTTCTGCTAACCCTTTATGCCTAGCCCGAGCCTGTGTAGTGCCAACTGGGCAAACAGTCTTACAGCTACAGCTGAGCCTTCCATTCCTGTGGAATATACAGCTCCTCTGAATGTGTGGCCTCATGTCACTTTAACAGTCCTGAATTCCACATGAAGAGATTTAATATTAAAGAACAATAGTCAGCCATAACTCTCTGGGCTGCACTGTGCCAGAGCATAATACGATTATAAATTCCCTTCATTTACACAAGTATTCCAATAGGAGCATTTACTGCCAGAAGGATTATTGTTAACTAAAAATACTTTGTACAGGGAACTCATGAATTTATTCCTTTGGTTGCAGCCTTCTTTTATATGAGGACCTGAAAGCAGGTGTAAGGGCACAGAATCAGGGGTAAGGTGTTTGGGGCTGCTCACCAGACCTCGGGAGACAACAGGGTATTAACTTAGCATAAATAAGGAGTAACAGAAAACAGAAGAGAGACTCCAGTTTGAAAGGTTGGCATCTGCTAATGTTCTCAGGCTGTAAAATTTGTCTTAGGAAAAAGGACTGCATAACTACAAATGTGAACAAACTCCCCTGACAGCATGGTAATATTTTGCACAAACTTGACTGTTTTCCAAAGGAAAGAGATTTTCCTAAAAAGAGTCCAAGGAACTGCTAACATCAAGTGCTGACTATTTCACTGTGTGGCCTGGTATTCCCCAAATTCATCCTACTGCCACTTTGCCCACGCCACACAAAGTCTCCTTAGGAGTGATCCGAACTACGACACGCAGCAGCCACCACTGACTCCAATTCAGCATTGGTACCTTTTCCTCAGGGTTTGCATGAGAACCTTTCACTGCTTTTGATCCCCTTACAACAAAGCTGGATGGGAGGGAAGTGTCTCCCAGAGAAAGCCCCACGGACACTCCCATACGGTGTCTGCAGGAGTATTCCAAGACATTTACTCTATGGAGGATTATGGTTTCCTACAAACACCTTGTGTAGGGACCTTATTTATTCCTTTGATTACAGCCTTCTTTTACACAGAAGTACAAAGCCTATAAGTTCAGGAATACAATATTTGGGACAACATTCGCTCCTTGATGACCACTTAGGGTTTTTCTGGTGGGGTTTTTGAGAAGAGTTTAGTATCACATTTTTATTTCATCAAGAACTCCTGCCAACCATTCGCATCAGCATTTTGATGGGCAAACAGGTGCAGTTCCTCCCACTGCAATCCCTCACACATATGGAAGTCTGATATCAAGTCCAGCTGCAGGGTCTGGCTCATTCAGAACCTGAGGCACATCAGACTGCCTCAGCTACTTGGTGACAGGAAAATCAGGGAAGTTCCAACTTACCACCCCACCTCCTGCCGAGTGCACCAGCACAGACATGCCTTCTCTCAGGTTAGCAACCTCGAACAGCATCATGTAGGCAGTTACAAAGTTCATGGGGAATGCAGCAGCTTCAGAAAAACTCATGTCATCTGGGATCTTGTAGACAAATTCCACTGGGGTACATACTACTTCAGCCCAGGCATTGTAGTTCACAAAAGCCATGACTCGGTCTCCAATCTGCAACGAAGGAAGAGAACAATACTGAGGACATCACTGCAAGGGAGACAGTAGAGAGCAGGTAAGGGACTAAGTAAGGACCAAAGGCCTGTAAGGCACTTTTTTCCAGAGCACAAAATGCCTACACCTTTAATGGAACCTGAACTACAAGACATCTACAAAGAGAAAGAAGGTGAGAAGACAGAGGGTGTAATCTTTGTCATTCCTGCCACTGCTCTGGACAGAGGTAACAACATGTGTCAGAGAGACACCAAGCACCTGGCATGCTCCTCTTCTGTGCAAGAATTCCATAACAAAACCAACAGACTGTTCTTGCATCTTCCCCATGGCACGTTGTGCTGCTGCTGGATTCATACCTACACACAGCAGTCATTCTGGGTATTTGACCCTTCTAGGTCACTCAAACACTACCACAGCTATGCAGAATACATGCAAAAAATTTAATACTATGGCATGTTCCAGGGAGAAGGCACAGACATGTCCCATAGTCAGCACAAAGATGTGACTTTAAAAGAGACAGTACACTCAGTCAGGTGCAATGTTATTCAAACAAGCACCATATGCTGTAGCCCCATGATGCCCCTCAAAAATAGCAAGAACTTTTAAAATGAGAATGCTGATCTAGAGCAGAGACCTTGTACACTCCTTTCATGGAATATTATTCAATACAGAGCGTAACTATCAAGCACAGACACTAGAGTGGAATTACTGAAGCAGCAGAGTTTTCCAAACTGCAAAATTCTTGTTTGTAACAATACACTGAAAGATTATGACTTGTTTCAAGGCATAGATGGGGCAGGAGAGGAACAGAGAAAAACGTCCTAAGACCTCATCACTGAGACCCTACTTGAAACTAAACTGGCCATTATCTTCCCTCAACTGAGAAATCTTACAGCTTTTCTAGAACAGCAAATTGCTACCTTTACTGACTGTGCAAATAACTAAGATAGGACTGACATGTACTAACTCAGGTTTTATTTCAAAAATTTTCCACCTACTTAGGCAATAAAGTGCAAAACTGGAGAGAATATAGATGTTTACTATCAGTAATGGAACAGGAGATAGGAGAAAGTGCTGTTTATATATAATAAGAGATCACATAGAATCAAGATAGGAGAAAATGCTGTCTATATATAATAAGAGATCACATAGAATCCATAACCAGTTATGAAAGCTTTATTAACTGTTTGGTTTTATCACATCCTGTTAGGTGAAACAGACCCTTGTCCTGAGCCATCACACTCCTATACCCAGAACCAGGGTCCTGATTCAATCCGAGCCTCAGGAATGCTCCCAGCTGTGAGGAGCAATGCTAATTGTAGAGGGGGCTCTAATTAACTCAGAATCAACAGCTGGAACTGGAATCAGCAGCACCTTTGAGGCTTTGCAGGGATGAGCAGCGACGATAGCAAACATGGCCAGGAAAAGAAACTTAATTTATTTCACTTTATTAAAGGACATCAGTCATGCTTTCCAGGTCCTATTCAGCCATCAGGATATGTACATGGCACAAGTGACTTTTCAGGAAGGATTTGAAGGAGATGACAGTGGTGGCTTCAGAAACTAATTGAGGAGGTCATTCTTGTGCTTGGTAAGCAGCAAGGAAAACTTGACCCTTCAAATCTCACCAGGGTGGTGAAGACTGCTGTCGCTGGCAGAGCAGAAGGGATTAGAGATAACATGGTGAACTGGTGATTAGTTAAGTCTCACTTTGAAAATAAAGAAAATATTACCTCAAATCCTTTCACACTATCTCCAAGAGCTTCTACAATTCCAGAGCACTCAAACCCAGGAACGAGTGGCGTCTTAGGAGGGTTGTCGATATTCCCCTGTCTCACCATCAAATCAATAAAGTTCAAACCACTGTAAAACACAGGGAAAAATAAATTCTATTACCATCGATCAAAGCAGAGGAGGAAAACTTGACCCAAGTGATGGGAAAGCCAGGAAACTTCAGGGTAGCATTAAAAAGCTTGGACCCAGCAGCCATCCCTGCTCCCCACGCACGGCACAGACAGTTTGCCGTGCCACAGGGGCCACGGGCAGAGGGGGCACATGCCAGGCAACCACACCTGCCACCAGCCCCAGGCTCACCACACTACACAGGGCAGTCAAAAATTCAATCCAGTGAAACATCACCATTTCTATGCACCCATGACTAGCTGGCAAGTAAACCCAGGTCAATTTAAGAACAAAATCCCCAACCTCACACATTGCAGATACTCTGGGCTAAAAGCTACATAGCCCTGGATGTGACCCCAGCAGTGCAGCCTGTGTTTGTCCCAGGCAGGAGGCCAAACTTTATCATGAACTTATTAAGTACCAGATAGGCTCTTGTTTTAGAACTGTTCCTTCCTGGATCATGTTTGTACAGTTTTGCAAAAGTTCTTTAGGTCTTTGAAGTCCTCAGGGTTGCTGCTCAGAAAAAAAATACAGCCCTACCCCTGCAGTCTCAGTTTTGCAAACATCTTAAAGCATCTTTGCTTTGTCTTTTGTATGCTATCTAATTTTATTAAGGAGAATTTTGTGTTTCCTAGGTAGTCCCCCCCAAAAAGACACCACTTATCTACTATGTGCCTATAGTGATTACTGGCCTTAATGGCACAGTTAAAACTTTAACACTCCTAACTAGCTAAAACAGGCTTCAGCATTAATCCACTGTTCCAAAACACAGCCCTGTCTTTACTGTTAGCCAAACACACAGCCAGTCCTACTCACACTCATGATACCAGCAACTGCTTGGACACGGCACATTGCCGATGTGCACCAGGATTTACAAGATTAGCCTTGGCCAGATACTAATCAAGGCACAAACAGATTCAACAGACCCAACAAATTAAGAGGCAGAGTAGACAAACATCCTAAGCACAAAGACAAGACAGCATTCATGGGATGTAGGTCACCGGGGAGGGGGAAAGAAATCCCACCAAATGTAAGCACTCCTAATTGTGGTGGAGGGTTTAGGAGCAACCTGAACCCACAACCTTCAACGTGCTGATACACAAAGCTCATAACATCAACCCTATGGAAGCTTAGGAGGGGGTTCACACATTGGAAGGCTTGAAATTGCTTTGGAATGGTCTCATCCAGTGGCTAAGACCACCTCCTAAATCACCACTGTCATGTTGCCCATGAAAGAGAAATTCCAAATAGCAGGACGCCTGCAAGGCAGTCATCATTTCGGGGGCAGGGACAGACACAAAACCCCAAAGCACACCACAAACCCAGAAACTCCACAACACTGCTGGTGGTAACCCCTCTGTGTCCATTAACTTCAGCGATGAACCTTTGATTACATCTTTCCACGCTGAGCATTTTGCACAAAGTTAACTTCCTCCTACAAGACTTAGTACTAGGACAGGTGTGGTAAGACGAGTCACTTTACAGATTTTCTCCTTCATTCACTTATCTTTCCCCTCCTGTATGTGTTGTCACATCCCTGTTACCCCCATATAAGCAATTAATTCTATTCTCTTCCACTTTCAAAGAAGGACAGAAATCAGTTGCTCTATTTTACCTGACAAATTTGAGCAAGTCTTTTCAACACCAACAGACCTGAAAGTACAATTATGTGGCATCCTAAAACTAGCTGTGCTCATCAAACAGGGAACTATCCCTGAATCTGACTTGCTAAGTCTGCAATGCTCTGCCCTAACACCAGTTCTGAGGATCTTGAATATGATTTTCTATACTTGCAGTTTAGCTTTGCTGCATTCTTATTTCCCTTTTTCAGTGGCGAGTCCTGTGGACAGAAAGTTGGATTCCAGACTTCCTGCACCATCAGACCAGCAACAGTCAACGTGTCTCCCCTTGTCCTCTCGAGTCCCACACACTCCAGAATGCCCAATACCTTCCACTGCAAAACCCCAAACCATCCAGACCAGCCCTCACACTTCAGTTTGCAGAGGTGCTGCTTTTGATCTTTCTTATTTCACTGCAAAACTCCACTGGTTTGCAGAGGTGCTTTCTTATTTCACTGCAAAACTCCACTGAAATTAATTACTGAACTTAATGAAATGCAACAGAGCAAATAAGAGGCCTAGTGAGTTTTGCATTCTTAAAATCCTTCCTCTTACCAGCAAACTGCCTGACAACCTTAACACAAGCGAGGAAGGTTTAAGATGATCAGATCTCATGCTCTTTATCCAGAAGCACTGGCACTGTATGAGCAGGGCTGCCTGTACGAGCAGAACTGATACACCATCCGCCACTCTTTTATACTTGGGATTTCTTTTATCTGCTCCAGCTTTTCTCCATGCACTGCTCTCTGTCAGTCACAGAGTCAGAAGGGTCACTCGTGCCTCATTCCTCATGACGCACACGTACAGCGGCACAAGGAAGAAATAATTATAAGAGAGAAAAGAAAAATAGAGGGAGGTAATTACAGGACACGGTTCCTTATTCACACAGCCTGTCTGAAATACTGCCTGGGTTTGTTCCAGCGACTTGTCTCCTCATTTAAAAAATATGTATTCTAGTGTTCTGCTGCCTGCACATTACTATACAAACAAACACAGCAATTTCAACTGCTTCATCATTACCAATCACAAATTACTTCAGGAGATATGTAGAAGCTGTGACTCAGTTTGGACATCGATGGCTGTTCCATTTCTTAGTCACTGAATGAGGCTCACACATGACTCATCTCAGCTGACACATTTTCAATTAGATCATTGATATTCCAGACCTTCAAAAGAATTATTCATCTGGCTTAGTGCTAATAGCAACATATCCACATCTCCTCCATTTCTAGTACCACACTGAAAATGTATACATACAACTTGACTGGTCCACACATACAATTCAGCGGGTTTCATCCTCAGGGAATCCAGAGACCACACAGAACTTGCACTTTTTACTGGTATATACAATTTATCATGTGTGCACATCCTTCTTAAAAGGAGGATTATTTTTCCTCCATCAATTTGTCAAGAAAAGTAACAATCATCCATAATGATGGTCAACCGCAAGACTGATTCGACCGCAGACAGGATTTGGAACATGTATGAATGAGTGGAGCAGCCCATCTTCAACGTTCAGCACTGCCTGCATCAACATGTGCACAACACCCCGGGCAAAGCCAGCACCTCTCTCTCTCAGCCTCCCAGACTAGAGCCCAAGTCCATCATCGCCCCCATCAATCCCCTGCGTTTACAGACTCGTGTCAGGAGATTGGCAGACTGATTTTGCCTTGTCTGGAAGCACACGTTGGTGACCCGGTCACATTTCAGCCCTGTGGCCATCTCCAGTCAGGAATGACAAGCTGATGCTATACAGCCTCCAGCCTCCTCTGGCCTGAAGGGAAGCTTCCAAGGCAGACAGAGTGTTGTGCAGCCTGGCAGGAAACTACAAACAGCTGAGCAGGGTCTGCTGAAGCCAAACAGCACACGTGCGGCTCACGTAGCTACTGCTACCCTGGAAAGCAACTGCAGCTGTAGCAGAGCTGAATATTTTTATTTTACAGCCAAGTGCTCTTGTGCAGGTAACTTGCTAATTGTGATACATACATAACCACTGCTTTGACAAAAGTGGAATTCATGTAGGTACTGGAGAGTGCTGTAAATCCCTCAGGCATGTAAAGGATATGTCCAGGGGCTCAGAACAGTGTAAGTTTTGCATGCTAACTTTTCTTAACCCAATGGCTGAAAAAAATCCCTCAGGAAACAAGACAAGAAACTGTTCTCTACTGGAATTACAGTCCTGCTTGACAGCAAGATGAGCTGCCCAGCAGATACTATGCTACCATGATTCCTTATATTCACCTAGCATGGAATTTCTTGTATTTCCCATTGTGACTGTAGAGAGAAAAACAAAGAAAAATGAAAAAAATCTCAGCCCTCTATTTATCAGGCATCATTCAGATTGATGGACATACCATTTTTTCATAGGCCACACCTTGTCATGGGGAATACTCACATAGGTCACAAACCTCATGATACCCACTAAGCACAGGATGGCAAGCTCAGTGTGGAACAGGTTAAGACACTCAGCTACAGTAACCTACCAGGATATTCCAAGATCTGAGACACATCCACTGGATACATCATTTGAAACAAGATTACTGCCCCACACCAGTAAAATTTGTAATTCAAGCCCTAAAGTAAACAAATTGGCCTTCACCTTGGAATTTATCTCCCAGAAGTACCATGTTTTCACATGGATGAAGAGGACAACAGAAGATAAATCCCTGCCTAGGGAAAATTAATTCATTCTTTGGTACACATCGAGTGGTGTAATAAGTTCCTAATATTGCTCCTGACACTTTAAAAGAATTAAACCTATTTTCATGAAGGAACATGTGCACTGAGAACCTGCAGTCTAGGAAGCACAGTCTGCTCTGATTGTCGGGGGTGGGGGGGAGAAGCCATCCAGGAAAACTCGTCTCAGGATGCTGCCAGACCCTCAGCCACTTGCCACCTGGCGCGGGGGCTGACACTGGGAAGCCACCCCGAGCTCCAGCCACCCCTCCAGATCAGCTCCGCAGAGAAAGGATGATGACTGAACTAAGTGATTCCCAGGAGGAAAACAACAGCCAGCGTCAGAAGGGACAGGTGCTGAGCAACACGCACAAGCTGGCATCCCCATTTCCCACAGAAAGCAAAACCCCCAGCGCTGCTGCCCGGGTTTTCTCCCCATTTCTCCCAGCTGGTACCGTGCAATTCAA